GGAACCTAGACCAGATTTAAGCTGTCATCTGATGGGATACTTAGAAGAATTTTTTGTGTGTTCTGTACTATTGGACTCCTACTTTTCTGCAATCGAACAGCCTCCAAAGCTTGAGGCTGAGTTGCTTATCTTTTCAGCTATATGAAATTTGGTCATATTGATTGCTGCTTTTAGCGCAGGAAGCTGTGCCTGAAAGGTGGAAATTTTCGCTAAATGATTTCTACCACTTACGCCCACCAGCGACCGAGCGGTAAAGACGCTGAACACTGGTAGTTCGGTCCGAGGTTCGAATCCCGTGAACGGGCTGGCTGCATGGCCGATGTCGTGGTTTTCCTCATGTGTAACGTGTATACGAGCCAGTTTCCCTTAGAAACTCCTCCACGAAGGCATACCTCCCTTTAAGCAGATTGTCCTCGTGTGCTTTACCATAATTAAATAATCCAATCCAATCCAATTCTACCACTTACATTCTCTTCAAGGCGCAGTGTCCTTACTAGTAAGGATGCTCTCTCCACTTAATAGGTAAAGTGGAGGGATGCCCGCCAACACTTGTAATGCCGCAATAGGAAAAGTATCTGTACCTCTTGCATATGAAGCAGCTGAATTCTCTATATTGTTAAGAGAAGCCTCCTCATATGAGCGGTGAGCTTCTTGTCCCATATGGTGACACCATATTTAATAATTTTCTCCGACACTATATTATACCATGCTTTTAGAATTTTTATTCAGATATCCCAGTGAAGTCCTGTTGTTCTGATCATGGTGTTACTTACCTGATTCAGTTTCTGCTTTAGCTCTTTGAAATGTGTTATCCAAGAAATTCTATTATTGTGATTCCTAGGTACTTAAGGTTGCTGATTCCTTTGATAGACATTCCATTTAATTTTAAACTGGGATTTCTGTTTTGCAACCCTTTCCTGCATACATATAGCTGTTTAGTTTTTTCCGCCGAAATAGTTAATTTGCGCTGTCTTGCCCTGCTTGCCCCCTTGTTCATTGTCAAGTAGTTAGCGTTTCTCTACGGGGCTGCCGTTTGCCTTTTAATTAACTATTTGCAAAAAGTTAGTTCACAGTGAAAAAGCAACTAAAACTCGTCCTAAAATTATAAAAATTATATTGTCAGACAGGAAATAATAAATCCTATCCTGAGGTAATGGGAGAACGTCACGGATGAATACACTGAGCTATACTGTTCTAATAACTCCATGGTTTAGCGAAGGAAGAATCCTGCGGAGATGCACTTAAGTGAAATTTACAAAAACTTTCACTGTGACTACACAATATTAGACAATGAAAAAATAATAGCACCATATGAATTTACACATTTCACACTTTCTGTTGATACGGATCACTTGAAGTTATTTCGAAGCACTTCTCGGATGCGCGATCATGAAAACAATAAGCATATGTAATTAATGCACAAGTAATTCCGTGTTAATCCAATGAGAGATTCCTACGGAGTTGCACTAGAGTGATGTATACAACACTATGAGGTGATGTAACTCTCACTATGAGAACACTAATTTAGGCATTCAAAAATAATGATGAATAACGGTATAAATCTACACTTTTCACACAGTTAGTATGTTTCACACGGTTCACTTGATGTTATTACGAAGTACTGCCCAGATGCACGATGAGAAAAATAATGATCAATAAACGCTCTTAGATGCACTTCATCACTGTGAGTGAAAAGTGAATCACTCTTTCCGCCTGCTGTATCCCATCTTGAAAAATTGCACTAATAGTCGCCACAAACATAAATTTTGCACCTATCTCTTCGCCTTCTCTTGCGGAACCCAATGATTTAAAAATCACTCCTGAACTAATAAAAATTCCAGTGAATACTACTGTTCGCTGTGGAGCACAAAAAACACGCCTCCTGCTTGTTTGGGTCTACCCGGGATCGTCACTTTTGTAACTGGTTTACCCTCTTACTGTAACTTACTCTCATTGTTCAGTAGCTGTTCGATGTTTAAATGAACCTGCAGTAATTTTGATAAATTGACCCAATCTACCGCAAAGTGAACCAGGTGTTACTGTTTACCTCATTATGTGAATTGTGGGACTTTGACCAAAAAGCGAAAGTGATTTGATGCAAATTCCGTGCTTCGAACATTGCGCTTATCGGACTGATGGTGGTTGTACCGGGGATTACTGGGCTGCTTTAATTCACTAAACACTTAATCGAATTTCAGGGTTCCATTGAAACTTGCTACTATATCCTCTACGCAAAAAATGAATTACTTCTCTAAAGCATTTTAGAATATGCATTACAATGTAAGCAAAACAAACCTAAAATCTGAATTCAACGGTTTGCTTGAGTTATTTCTTTTAAGTTCGTATTTTCTCGTTTGTCAATCTGATTTTAATGTTGGTTATATTGCATAACCTCAAACTTTGTGGTATATTTGTGAATCATATAACATACTTTTATTGCTTTTAAGATATTATTTCGGATGTTTGTATTATTCATTGATCTTACTTCTAAAATTTTCTTGATTAGTCATCGCGCTACATATGCACTGATTTTGCAGTAAATTGAATTTGTGTTTTTACATATGTATTTAATTCGGAAAATATTTTCTTTGTCTACCTGACATTTCGCGTTCACTAATCTAATATAACGGAATGATCAAAAGGAATTGTAAGTTGAATTTTTATTGAAATGGTTGGTATTACTTTTAACTGATGGCTAATTATAATTATTGTTTGTTATGTATCTGTTAATGTTTTTTTATAGTTTGTGGTCCGCCATAATCCACAATAAAATTCTTCATATTCTTGCCAAATGCACTGAATACTTTATTAACTGAAAGCTTAAATTCACTAGCAATCTTAGGGCGTCGTTCTATAGATTTCGGATGCATTGTTTTAAAAATATATTTAATTATTCTAATCTTTTTGCTTGATTATAAAGGGAGTTTCAAAAAGGTTGCACAGCTAAGTAATTCTGAATGGTTGATCCTCGAAGCATGGTTGCAGTTTCAGATGAATCAGAGTAAAGTAGGCTTTCAGAGTGCGATAATTTTAGGCACCCGCCACAGTTACCCGTTACCTCTATAGCGAAATTTAAATTATTAAGTCACTCCTTGTGCAACCAAAACTACTTTTTCTGTTGAAGCGGAAACTGTAGTTTGGATAATTGACCCTGAAAAATATGTTAAAAAAATGAGTGACGTTAAACTACTATCCCTCGAAGTGAAATCTTCAGTTTGAGGAATAAGTGTTTGTTAGATACCAAATTTTTAATTTTAATACTTGAATAAGAAAGGGGAACTTGACACTCATGCATCTGTAGTTAACTTAAAATGCATCTTTTAAAAATATGCTTTCGAAAAAATAACATGTTAAACGAAAAAATAACAAAGCGTATTCTCGTTAGCAATAAAACTCTATCCTCAAGCATTTTAATTTATGATATATGAGGCAGTTTTAATTCTATGAAGATCCACATTATTTCTATCCATAGGCTTACCATATTCAAATAATTCAATCCCTAGTACCATAATCAAATAATCTAAAGGATTGGATTATTTGATAAATATTGGATTATTTGATTATGGAAGAATACACTATGGCTATCTGCTTAAGTAGAGGGATACTTTCCTGAAAGATTATCCAAGAGAAATTGTTCAGGTTTCACAAGACGTAAATCATGAAAATTCCATGGAGCCAACCCATTTACCTGGATATGAACCGTGGTCGAACTACTTGTGTTCATCTGTCTTATGCACTTGGCCGCTGGTTGCGCCCAAACGAAATGTATGTATGTATTCACACTGTATCCTCGAATTAAATCATTAAAGTAATCAGTGTATGGAGGAAAATATTTTATTATCTCTGGAAGTCTGATGTTATGGAACAAAAATTATGTTTCAAAAATAATTAAGCATGTACTGTCTCTGTAGATCACTGTAAGTTTGCGCATACCAATTACAATATTATCTTCATTTGGGAAATCAACCTGCATAAAAAATATTTAACCGAACCCTCTGATAATAAGTAATACAACAATAAAAAGAATGAAAGTAAAATTTGTTTATCAAAATATAATAGTGGGACTAAAGATATGCAGATTGTTTCTCAAAACGCAGGTATAAATTCATTTAAAAGTAGTAAATTTCAAATAATTTATGGCGGACAATGTTGTTGCTTAATTAGCTGTATAAGGTGATTAAATGACAAAAATAAAGTCATTAGCTTAAAGGGAAAGATAGAAAAGAATACCAATGGAAATGCGAAATTCGACGCAATTTGATAAAAAAAAAGGAGGTAAAATATTTTGAATAAGAATAGATTTCGCGGACTCAGCACCGCATGAATTTTTATATATCTCATTGAATTTCTTTTCGAAATTTTTTTATTTCAAGTTTATTCTGCTGTACTTGAGAAATCTTTAAATTTGTGCTTCAAGCCCGTATTATCATCGTTTTTCGCGCTTGTTTCTTTCGTAAACCGTATATGACTATCTCTATAAAATAATAATAAAAGAAGTTGTTTGTTAGTCGCGATAAACTTAGTTTCTTTGTGTTTCCAAAAGTATTGAGTTCGGACTTTTGTGCTTCTTTGCAAAAGGTTGATTAAGAGGTGAACTTCGTAAAGAATAAAAGTATTCCGGAAGGTCCATCGCTGTAAGAAACGTAGTAATCGCTATCACAATGAAACAGAATTCTTGATCATCAATAAATAAATTTTGTAAAGTTAAATAAATAATTAAAATAAATGTTGTAAAGTAAATAAATAAATAAAAGAAATGTTGTAAAGTAAATAAATAAATAAAAGAAATGTTGTAAAGTAAATAAATTAAGTAAAAGGATTGTTGTAAAGTAAATAAATAAGTAAAAGAAATGTTGTAAAGTAAATAAATAAGTAAAATAAATGTTGTGGAAGAAGCTTATTAGATTCAGCTATTAGACTGTTTAAAGGAATGTACTGTCAGCTAAGAGTAAACTGGTAATACATTTTAAATACTCCAGATATAGGATCAATAATCTCTAATATCTCTTTTTCTTGATGTTTCAGCATGCCTAACAATCGAGCACATCGTAGACCCGCCTGTTGTCAGTAATTGCTCTGCCGTTACTTTGACATGCCGTTTAAACAACTCATCTCCCCTCAATGTGGAGGTCTGGTGGACGTTTCGTGGAGAAAATGCTTCTAAACTTCCGGACACAACTGTGATAACGGACAATGCAGACAAAGGAGAATGGCAGTTGGAACTAAAATGTCCGACTCTGGAGCATAAAGGAATATACGCATGTAATGCACAAGGTAGGAATGAAAGTGAAGTTGTCTACAGGAAAGAGGCGCTTCTGAGGATATATGGTAAGCATTATTTCTGTCAATTTTATGTAGATCTTGCAGAAGTTAAGAAAAATAGTTGTATCTCATCAATATCTATTTCAAAAGCCAGCTGCAAATGTTAGAATGTGTTTCATGAGCTGAAGTGTCTCTTTGTATTGAAACTTTTATTATATACCCGCACTTTCCCAGCACTTTGTTTTCCTTTTAATTTATTCATGGAATTATTGCGACCTTTAAATAAACCAATGAAATAAGTAATTCAGTAATTCTTTAAATACTGAATTGTTTTGACTGCAATTAAACACAAGACTTTCGAGTAGTCTCTTGAGTGCAAAAATTAGAAGGTTTGAAAAAACATTTCTTAAATTTTTCATATATCGAAGGATACCTGTATATCATATTTAATCACAGAAACAAATAAAATCCAATAATTGTCCACTTATTCCCACTAGAAGTCTGAATTAAAAACTTTGCGCGTTTTTTTAATTGCATACGAAATATTTCCTAAAGAATTTAAAAGGTAGCAGGGTTTGAAAACTAAACTAATTGTATATTTCTGGTTAAACTATTCAGTTGTTTAATGAAATAATTTTGCAAACTGTTGATTAAATAAATTGAAGATGATCAATTTGAAGTCTCCTCTCTTCTCTTTCAATAACGAAAGTTGCGTAAAATGAAATTAGCTATGACTCTGCAATTTTGCATTAATCCAAGTAAGTTCAAGTCCGCAGAAATTACATCACCTTAGATAAATGGATAATTAATTCTATTACATCCATCCATTTAGTAATTTTCGTGGTTCTTTTTGTTTTTGCAAATACTTTAAATGGTCTTTATTAAATTTCTTAGCTGAAGAGGGAAAAAAAGTTTTGCTTGAGAACGCTTTATTTTCTTCGGTGATACTCCATATTCACGCTTAAATTAGTAAATATTCAGTTACTTATTTTAATAGGAACATCGAGTTTTAACTTAATTCAGTCTTGCCTTAAACAAGGGTCTCAGGAATAAAGTTAATGATGCAAATGGATCTCTTTAGGGGATGGATATGCGACACCTAAGGTGGTAAAACTTTACCTGACTTCTTGAGATAACGTAAATATAGATTTTTTTTTTATTCTTCTCTTCTCAGCCTTCTTTTAATTTGGTATGCTGCTGGTTCAAGCACTGTGCTGCGTATTAAATTACTTAATTGTGGTGTATAAAAGGGTTTATTGTAAATTTCACGCTTCTGTCGAAGCTTTAAATAGGCTTAATTTAATGATTAAATGAAAATATATAAAATCATGCAATCCCCGCTCTCTGTCATTAAGATTAAAGGAGTATAAAGTTAATGATTATGTAATTAGCGATTGTGACAAAGTTTATCTCATCTGTAAATTTTGAATCATTTTAATTCTGCTATGTTGTTCACGCAGAGTATGCATTATGTGCAATTCTATTATTTGAAAAGATAAAATTGAAAGGATATACATTAAAAGAAATATGAGTTGTTTGAAGTCTTTAACAGCAGTTCATAAATACTAGTATATATCTTTTAGGATGTAAAAGCGGGAGAGGATTTAATAGAATAAATAATACAAGAAAACCTCAAAAAATGTTTCATTCTTCCCTTGAGTTACTAGAGATTGTGAAACAGTCCTTTCATTTCTTAATTCTATTATAATAGTGTTTAACCAGACTTTAAACACTAATCATGCTTTATTATTCCCTCGAGTGGGACATAAATGCTGGTCAAACCTTCGCACCAAATCTGTTTAGCCTAATTTAATTGTTGAAAATTAATATTTGCAGAAAATTGTAAAGTGAGAGTGATATTTTTTCTTTTTCGTTTATTTTTATTTTTCTCCCATTTACAAAAATGTTTTAAGATTTCCTTTTAAACTTTCTGAAAGTTGCCTGATGTTGAGTGCTTAAATTTTCTATTGCTCTATTTTTTTTTCTTTTATTCCACACTGATTCGCTGGAAATGATTGTTTGAATGTGCACGTGAAAACAACAATACTACATTTTATTAGTTAATTAACAATATTTTTCAAATAAGGAAAAATATGGTTCAGCGTTTTCAAAAATTAATATAAAATAAAATTTTAGAAAGAAAATAACTTATATATATGGTACGAATGCAAGACACTAGACAAAATTTAGACGCTTCCATAAATTTATAGCAACTTTAAAGGTGTCTATTCAATTAAACTACCAGTACCTAACTCATAACCTTTGAAAGTTACTCTATGAGTTAGCGAGTTATTGTTTCTTCTTAATGTTTACTGCGGACAAAAGATGCAATTCATAATATAAAAATTAGCATAAAACTTTATTCGTTATAGTGTGTGGGTCTTTCACGTTAGTCACTTTCTTGTTAACGGTTACTTGCTGGAACTCTGCAGTATATTATCTGGATTTGAATTCCAGAAACTCTACCCGAAGGTTTCAACGTTGATCGGAGAGAAAATAAAGCGCAACTAAACACATTTATGGACCATGAGAGCGTCAGGCGTTCAGTTTTACTCGAATGCGCGTCTCTCTAGGTAAGTAAATTCACCAACGGCGAAACTTCTACTCAGAATTATACCGATTACGACTTCTCTATCATTTCAACCTGCATCACTTGCCATAAAATTTTTATAGATCTCTGAACTGTATGAGTACGTGACGAAACAGGACATGAAGGAAAGAATAAAAGCTAATTGTTAGTGAAACTAAATCTACCTTTAATAATTACCTATATTATTTTGTGCAAAATTCACAGCATTAATTCTTTATGAAAGGGATTTGACGAAGTTATTTTATCACTTTAATATAATCGTAATCAGCTTCGACGCAGAAATTGAAGCCGATTAAAGGGGATGCTGCAGTTTGCTTCTTATCTCCCGTTAAGACGATCACGTATTCTTGATAGAGTAATCTGGCTAGTTAGGCAGCCATTTCTATGCATGCAATGTTCTGTCATACTTTTTACATCACTCGATAATATCTTGATTGTTCTTTGAACCTGAAAACTGTCAACTTGTTAAACTGGATTCATTGTGTTATAAGAGTCTTGCAAATATTTTACAGAAGTAGTCGCATACTTGAATAAAATTTTTCTATTAATGTGTTCAGTTATAGTTTTGTCCAATTTTACTCACTGCAAGTCCAATTTACAACAGCTAAAACTACACCTCGGCGTTTTAAATCCAATTCCTTTGTAAAAAGGTGTTTGAATACTTTCAGGTTTAGATGTTTCCTTAGACTTCTTCTTGGACTTTCATCTTGCGTCGGCTCACCAGCGGCCGAGTGGTAAAGTCGCTAAACGCTGGTAGTTCGGTCCGAGGTTCGAATTCCGCGAACGGGCTGGCTGCATGGGTGTTTTCGTGGTTTTTCCCATGTGTAACGTGTATACGAGCCAGTCTCTCTTAGAACGTCCTCCACGAAAGCATCCCTCCCCTTAGGCAGATAGCCCTCGAGGCTTTGCCATAATTAAATAACCTAACCTAACCTAACCCATTCTGCGTCATTTCACTAAACGCTTAATTTGAATTAAATCAGACCATTTGACAGCCCTCAGTTGATCAACACGGCATATCTTGTGAGTTTTAACTCAAATTAAGAGAACTTAAATTAACATTTGTTTCTATCGTACAACTCGATATCCGTTTGTAATTCCCTGTGTAATCTTCGCTCAGAAATTGCGTAATTTGGGCGCTAACAGAGAAGTTTCTGTCTCATTTTAAATCTCTTTCCTTAAACTAAGTGAAAAATTCATCGGTAACCACGACTTGTCAAAAGGTTCTTCGTTCACAATTTCTCATTTATTTTCAATCGCGTTTGACTTACACTGTGTGCAAGTAGAATTAATAATAATAACTGAAAACTCCGCCATTTTCTCCATACTGTGTGCTTTTAACCGGCAAAGGTACCTTTATGCCAGTTACTTAAGTTGATTTTCGAAACGCTGTTTTTATTTTTCCAGAATTTTCATCTTCGTATTATGACTACAGGACAGCACAACACATATTCTAATATTATGCAACGCAGAAATATCTAAATCAAACCTTTGTTTAACTTCAGACTTGTACCATATAAAAACGTTTACGCACACACAAAAAAAAAGGAGGGACAGTTTTTGTAGCTACCGTTCTACTGGACCGATTGATGAAATTTAACTTTTCGTTTTTCATGTCTGCGTGACTTAGTATATATAGCTTAGATTTATAGAAATAAAAATAACTTTTTAAAAGGAAAATTTATAATCCTTCCAATAATTTTCAAGCATTATGCTGCTGAAAATTATCAGTAAATGTATAAAGAAAGGAATTTAGAAGGAATTTTTCACAAAGACTGAAAATTTTAATTCAAATGAACTTCATAAAATCGTATAAATGTAGGATATTTTAAAATGTAAAAATTAAAATAAATTATCAGAAGAAAAACCAAAAAAGAATATAAAAGAATAAGAAAGAAGAGGAATCCAATAAACTTCGACATAACGTCGAACTTCATTACAGTTCCCCTTCCAAAACAAAATTCTTGCTTTTGTATATCCAGAATTAGCTGATGAATCATTTCAATACATATTTTTTTTTAATTTTAATGGTTCACCCGAAATTGGTTTAAATTTCTTTCTGTATATATTAGATCTATATATAGCATTGTTCTAACATAGGTATTTTGACAGAAAATTGGACTTCTTTTGAAATGACATATTTTTTCCATATTTCGATTCTACGACTCAAATTATCCCGAAGTGCCAAGTTTTGTAAAAACCGCATGAGTGTTTTTTAAAACAGTAGCTCTCAAAATTTTAGATCCTCAACGTTAATTGAATTTGGTATACATTTATTAATATCGCTCTTTTTATTAAACTTACTTGATTCCTTCTTTCGCAGTTAGAAATTCAGGTTCAGTCCAAATAGTATCTGCAGATATTTTCTGATTTAATTTTACAATTTGTATTTTTAGTAATTCTTATAAATTTTCCGAAAATATTTTTGAATTATAACCTGTAAAATTTTACTATCATCTTACAGTAGATGTATATC